GCGGGCCTGTGGGGGGTGGCGGGGAAGGCCTGTGGGTGCCTGATGGGGGCTGGCCTGTGTCCGCAGCTCTTCTGGACATACATCCAGGCCATGCTGACCAACCTGGAGAGCCTCTCGCTGGATCGTATCTACAATATGCTCCGCATGTTTGTGGTGACCGGGCCTGCGCTGGCCGAGATTGACCTGCAGGAGCTGCAGGGCTACCTACAGAAGAAGGTGCGGGACCAGCAGCTCGTCTACTCGGCCGGCGTCTACCGCCTGCCCAAGAACTGCAGCTGATGCACCCACCCGCCTGCCCGCCAGGTGCTGCCCTGCAGGTGCTCTCATCCTCCCATACCAGCCCCTGCCTGCCTGTGTCCCAGAATGCACTGCTCAGGGGCACGCCCACTCCCACCCCCACAGTGTGCAGATTAAAGCAAGTCAGGTCATGTTTTTCTATCCTGGTGGCTTTGTGGGGCCCCCAGATTCCCCTCTATCCTGGGCCTCTCTCAGCCTGTCAGGGCCTGTTCCTCAGCAGCAGGTGAGGGGCCACCTAGGCCTACACATCTGCACTGGGAATCAGCCTCCTGAGAGCTTCCTGGGCCGCCCCCGCTGGGTGCTCAGGAAGCCGCGCGTGAAACCCCACGTCACACCTGGGCCATGGCTCCAGCAGCCACGTCCTAGGGCTTGGTGCTACCTGCCAGACCTCCAGCTCCATCCCTGTGCCTCTGGCCTTTGGAAGGAGCCCTGGGGTCACCCTCTGCTCAGCCTGTGCCCACCCCTACGTGCCGGGCCAGGAGGTCCCCGGCGAGGCTGGGACGTTGCATGGGTTCGGTTGGAATTGCTTAGACTGGTGAATGACCTCTTGGCCAACACGCCTCATCTCCGGCGCAAGGCTCTGCTCAAGGCTATGCCCTGGTGGCCAGAGGGAGTGGGCACTTGTCCCCTGCTCCACACTTGGGCAGGGTGGCCGCAGAGCTCAGCCTCACAGGTGTGCCTCGGAAAGGCAGGTCGCCCCCGTGTCCCCCACATGTGTGGTCATGCGTGTGCAGGCTGCCCAGGGCCTGTCCCAGAGGTTGGCACTGGGAGAGGGAGACGCCACAAAGCTGAACAAGGGCCCTAGGGTCCAGCTCTGGGCTCTTCTGCTGCTAAAACCTGGGCCTGTCTCCCAGAGGTGCCATTTCCAGGCCAGACATGCTCCACCCCGATGGTGCTGTCCTCCCGGGGGATAAAGGCCCTTAGAACCGGCGCCTCCAGTCCTGCTCCTACTGCAGCACCTTCCCAGGCTGTGCGCTGCGCCTGGTTTCAGTGCTCCCGCTGCTGTCCCCAGATACCCTTGCTGCTTCCCACGTGTCCACTGTCCTGGGCTCCTGCAGCCGCCGCCCAGCCCCCTCCCACCTCTCCAGATCTGGCCTGTTTGAGCCGTCCTGCTCTGTGGACATGCCTGCACCCTCCTGACTCTGGAGAACTCTGTTTGCCTCGGGGCTTGAAGGAGGAAGTGGTTGGGATTAGGCAGGTGTCAGATGCACAGCCTCTGGCCATCAGGCCTCTGCCCCGCCAAGGAAGGCTGCTTCCGCCCATGTGGTATCTCCCCTCCAGCCCTGGGGCCTGCCACCTGCTCCACTTCACTCCAAGGCTGGCTGTGCTGCTGTCACACAGAGGGACCCCTCTCCTGAATTCTGTTGTGGGGGGGTCCCGATTGCTCTGACGCCCACTGTCTCCCCTCAGGCGGTGGCCTTGCCTGGATCCCGCTGACCATGGCCACCACCTGGCCCCAGGCTGGGTGTGCCATTGTCCTAAGCAGGATACAAACCTGTTGGGCTGGCCTGTCCGGTGTCACTGCCAGCCTGGCTCTGGCACACCTTTTGTTCTGTGTCTGTGGATTCCATCGCTGGATGTGTCCTGAAGACAAGGGTAAAAGGTGCATGTCAGGTCACGGTGTCACTCAGCAAGTCAGAGGTCCGAGGACCCCAGCAGGAGGGTGTCTGTCAACAGGCAAGGGGGTCCCTGGTGACCAGGTCCACTGGGGCCAGGCTGTGCCCGCCCCGCCCCCCTGCGCCCCATGGGTCCTGAGCTGGCAGGAGGCCTGGCCTTGGTTGGCTATGGGGCAGGTGTTTCCTTCTGCTGCCTGGCGGTTTGCTTGGCAGGTTCAGAGGAGGGGAAGCCGGGAGGGCAGGGGCCTCTCTCCCAGCCTGGAACAGCAGGTTCAGGAAGGAGGCTGAAATTAACCCTGGCCATGCTGGCCTGTGGTCGACTTCCTTGGGCAATGCTTGCCTTTTCTGCAGAGGGAACAGCCCCTGGGGCACCAACTTCAGTGATACCTTTAGTCTGGAGCCTTGGATGGGGGATGTCCAGGAGGCAAGGCTTGGGGTCCTGCTCAGATGGGGTGGCCAGTGTACCCCAGACCTTTCCAGGTTGATGGGGAATTCCCTTATGTGCCAGCAGCCCTTCTGACCTGAGCTTTGCCAGGGCATGAGCCAGACCCTCCCAGAAGCAGTGGGGAGGGAGGCTGAGTGCAAGCCCACCTGCTTAGCCCTCCTTGGCCCCTTCCTGCCTCGGCATTGGAGGAAGGTGACCTGCAGCCAGCTGGGGCCCAGCCCACAGGCTAAGCTGCCACAGTCCTTATGCTGGGAGGGAGCTGAGGCCGAGGCTGCCTACTGCCCACCCCCCAAGGTTGCCAGGCCACTGCACCCGCATCAGGGCCTGGAGTGCTGCCCACCCCCTTTCACTGTGAAGGACTTGGCCAGGCGCGGTGGCTCACACCTATAATCCCAGCACTTTGGGAGGCCGAGCCGGGCAGATCATGAGGTCAGGAGATCGAGACCATCCTGGCGAACACGGTGAAACCACTGTGAAGGACTGCGCATAAGACCAGGCCAGCCCCATTGCTGCCTCTGCCTCGGAACTGGCCTGAGCTGGCCGTTCTCTCAGGCCTCTGTCCATCCTACCTGTCCCATTCCCAGGGCTGCTTTTGTCAGTGGCTCCCTGAATTGCGGTGCCCAAGGGCAAATGACACACTGGCACCGTGAGGCCCCCCACCCCCACCTCACAGTCCCACTGTGAAGTCAGCGCCTTCCAATAGTTCCGTCAGAGGTGTGCAGTGGGGCCAGGGCTGGACATGGCCCCTGGTCCCCAGCCTGCGTCCTGCCTGCGTGGCGGCCCTCTGGGCCTCACATGTTTGTCTCTTCTGCTCATCCCTGCTGCAGGTGCCTCCTCCTGCCCCTCACCCTGCTCCCAGCCAGGGCTCCCCTTTCCCAGGCAAGGCGGGAGCTCTGGTGTCCTTCTGGTGGCCACCAGGGCAGGGGCAGACCTGGGGCCCCTCCACAGGCAGGTGACCGGCCCCGTGGCTATGTGGCCCTGTCTCTGCAGCTGGAACCTACTGTGAATGCAGCCTTGGCCTCAGCCGCGAGGCCCTCATCGCCCTCCTTGTGGTGCTGGCGGGCGTCAGTGCCAGCTGCTTCTGTGCCCTTGTCATCGTGGCAGTTGGTGTCTTGCGGGCCAAGGGGTGCGTGAACCCCGGGGTCAGGAATGGATGGGAGTGAGGCCAGGCTGCCTGCCCTGGGCCCTCGGTCTTGCAAGAGGGGCCTTTACCCCCTGGGTGGGCTGTCACCTGGGGTAGGAATGGTGTTTCCTAGGCGTATGTTGGGGGAGGTTCGGGGACCCAACACTGTTCCAGGACTCATGTCGGTCTTCATCCCCTCAGTGAAACATGCCCGAGACTAGTGGACAACAGGTGAGCACCAGGGAGGCCCTCGAGGGGGGTGCGCTGTCTTAAGGGAGGTCCTAGGGTGGGGTGTGCTGTCTTAGGGGAGGCCCTTGGCGCAGGAAGCTATCCCAAGGGAGTCCCTGGAGGAGGAGGGGTACTGTCCCAGGGGAGGCCCTTTGTGGGACTGCGCTGTCCCAGACACTGGCCTGCCCTGGAGGATTAGGACTCCACCAGCTTGTGCTGACCTGGCCCCTGTCATGCAGGTTGATGGAGAATTTTGGGGTCCAGGAAAATCGCATGGACCTGCACCCGGTATACGTGGAGTCCCAGCTAATGGACGCTGACCTGGAGGTCTCCATGATGCCACCACTAGAGGATCAGAGCCTTGTGGCCATTCCCATGGAGGCTTCTCCAGAGGAGCCGCCGCCACCCCCGCCCCTACCACCTGAGTAGGGCTGAGGGCAGCTGGGGGAGGGGAATTAAAGTGTATTTAGTGACTGTGTACTGTCCATCCTGCAGGCTCTCACACCCCTCAAGGCTGCATCATGGGGGGTGCACACGCATATGGGTCTCATCAAAGCAGGGCGCCCAGGCCCCACACTAGGTTCCCCTGTTCCTCTGCCCCAGGACAGGAAACCAAACCCATAATATTTCCACCTTCTCTACCACAGCTGGTCAGCCTGGCTCCTCCCTACACCCTGCTTTGGAAAGCCCCTAGAACAGGACCTGAAACTGGCAACTCCAAAGGGCGCTGGGTTTAACTGGAGGACTTAGGCTGATACCCCTGCCCCACTGCACTGGTCTGTTTTTCTGACGGTCCAGGAGAGTCCTGGTGGGAGGGGTGGGGCAGGGACGCCTCTCCTGCCTGGGGTGTGCTGTCTCCCTCCATCCCAAGGCCAGTCTCCAACCCAGGCCCCATCCACCATGGGAACGGGACCATCCCTGCGTGGGGGCCACTCCGCGTGTGCACGTTGGCATCACTTTGCTGAGCCTGGGTGGGGTCGAGACGGGTGAGGAGTAGGACCTCTGGGTTACATTGCGTGCGGGAGCCTGTCGCAGCCGTGAGCTGGGTGGGTGCAGGTGGGCGCAGGTGGGCGGTGTCCTGCTGCTCAGAGCTCGGCGGGTGCCCGGTGGTGGACAAGGCGGGGCGAGGTGGTCTTGATAGCGCTGTGGCCGGCGCTACGCCAAGAGTAGTTTGGAGCTCCGGGACAGGTGGCTGGCGGTGCCGGGCGTTGGCTGTTTGCCTTGCCTCCGCCCCAAGCGTGGATCCAGCCGTGGGACAGGAACTGCCTGCGCTCGGGCCAGAGTTAATATTTGTGCAGGCGCCGCAGGAACGGGCTACGCGGACGACGCGCTCCGGGGACGCGCAGGCAGCGGGCCTCTCACCGCGGGTGCCGGGGCTGCCCCCATGCGGAGCCCTTCTTGGTCGCGGCCTCGGCCGCTGCTGCTGCTGCTGCTGTCGCCTTGGCCTGTCTGGGCCCAGGTGTCGGCCACAGCCTCGCCCTCGGGGTCCCCGGGCGCCCCGGACTGCCCCGAGGTGTGCACGTGCGTGCTGGGCGGCCTGGCCAGCTGCTCTGCACTCTCGCTGCCCGCCGTGCCCGCAGGCCTGAGCCTGCGCCTGCGCGCGCTGCTGCTGGACCACAACCGCGTCCGCGCGCTGCCGCCCGGTGCCTTCGCGGGAGCGGGCGGGCTACAGCGCCTGGACCTGCGCGAGAATGGGCTACACTCGGTGCACGTGCGAGCCTTCTGGGGCCTGGGCGCGCTGCAGCTGCTGGATCTAAGCGCCAACCAGCTGGAAGCGCTGGCACCAGGGACCTTCGCGCCGCTGCGCGCGCTGCGCAACCTCTCACTGGCCGGCAACCGACTGGCGAGCCTGGAGCCCGCGGCGCTAGGCGCGCTCCCGCTGCTGCGCTCACTCAGCCTGCAGGACAACGAGCTGGCGGCACTCGCGCCGGGGCTGCTGGGCCGCCTGCCCGCCCTAGATGCCCTGCACCTGCGCGGCAATCCCTGGGGCTGCGGGTGCGCACTGCGCCCGCTCTGCGCCTGGCTGCGCAGGCACCCGCTGCCCGCGTCAGGTGAGCTGTTAGGGATGCGGGTTGGGGTCTGCAGGGCGGTGCGGCCGCTGCCGCCTGATGCCACACCCTTGTCTGTGTCCCACAGAGGCCGAGACGCTGCTCTGCGTGTGGCCGGGACGCCTGACGCTCAGCCCCCTGACTGCCTTTTCCGACGCCGCGTTTAGCCATTGCGCGCAGCCGCTCGCCCTGCGGGACCTGGCCGTGGTCTACGCGCTCGGGCCGGCCTCCTTCCTCGTCAGCCTGGCCGCCTGCCTGGTGCTAGGCTCCGGGCTCACCGCCTGCCGTGCGCGCCGCCGCCGCCGCTGCCGCACCGCCGCCCTCCGCCCGCCGAGACCGCCGGACCCGAACCCTTATCCCGACCCCCACGGCTCTGCCTCGCCTGCGGACCCGGGGAGCCCCGCCGCCGTCGCCCAAGCCTGAGCGACCGCGGCAGCCTGGAGCGCTCGAAGCTTCCCCCATGCCTTTGCCCTCCCTTTACACTCTCTGCCGGGGTCAACAAGCGACACAGACCGAAAACTGCGTGACATTCCTTTAGGCATCACCACTGCATACACCGGGAGGTGGGGGGTGGGCGATGTGCGCCTGCACCCTGGGGACTGAGGGGCAGAGGGCGGCTGCGCACGGGCCGCACGGGGAAGGCACGCGCTCGGGCCCTGGGAGTGCTGGTCCTGTACAAGGTGGCGGGCCGGTCACGCACCCGAAGCGAGGGCGGGGGCGGGCGGGTGGCGCTCTCCCGTGCCCAAGGTGCAGGGCGGGGTTGAAGACAGTCCCGAGCCAGCGTCCGGGAAGGCCCGTTCTGGGCTGCAGGCCGGACGAGGAGAGGAGGGGCTCAGCCCTCTCGAGTCTGGAGGAGGCGGCCCGAGGCGGCGGGAGCCCGAGCGCCTCTGGGAGGCGCTGCCAGCTGGGAAGTCAGGGACGGCCATGGGGGAGGGCAGGGCCAGCCCCGGCGTGTGGGGTCAAGGGGCAGACGGGGTGTGGGTGGGCGGTGCCGCAAGAAGAGGGGAGGGTGGAGCTCAGGCTGCAGAGGAGCGCAGGCGCCCGAGGAAGGGCGACCCAGCCAGCTGGGGCCATGGGCCCCACTGTGGCTCAGGCTAGTGCTGCGGGAAGGATGGGGCTGCCGTCTCTGCTCCAAGCCCCTCCGCCTGAGGCCAGTTAGCCCCCGCTCCCCACTGCTCAGAGACCCCAGGGCCCTGCCTCTGCCGGAGCGCCCTGCGGCCCTGCCCAGCCGACTCAGCTCTGCCCCGTCCTCAGCCGCTCCGGTCCGCACCTTGGTCCAGCAGGGGCTGCCCGCCAGGCAGCGGGGCGGGCGGACGGACGGGAGGCCCAGGGTGGGCAGTCTCTGGGGCGGGTGGGCTTCCCTCAGGCCTTCCCGAGCAGCAGGACCCATCAGTGTCCTTGGCCGGGCTAACTGGGCAGGTGGGCGCCTCCGGGGGCCTCACACCACGGTGCTGACCGAGGGATCTGAGAGGTTGAGCGGGCCCGTGATATCAGTGGGATGGTACTGCTGCAAAATAGAAATACACAGACAAGGCGCCCGTTAGCCCCACGCTGGGGGCACGCGCGGGGCCGGGACGGGGTGGACCGGCCAGCCGGCCAACCGGCGGGCGGGCAGGCGCAGCCTGGGGGAGGCTGGGGGTGCTCCTCCCCCGACCCCGTGGTGCTCCGGGGCTCTGCGTGGGCCGGGCCGCTGTCCCGTCCGTCTGTCTGTCTGTCTGCGGGGGAGGGGGCAGAGGAGGGCGGGCGGGGAGTCTCAGCTCTCCCTATGACGGGAACACAGCTGCAGCTGGCCCTCCTCCCTCTCAATAGCGCGTCGCGGCAGCACTGTGTCTTTTTGGTTTTGCAAAGCGCCGCGTCCACCCCCGGTGCTCTATAAATAAGAACCAACAATCAATACCCGCTAGCCCCGCCGGCCGCCAGGGACCCCAGCCCTCAGCGCCCAGTGCCGCCCTGGCCCGGACCGGCCACAGGACAGGGGCAGGGGATCTCCGCAGCCGGACGGACCCCACCCTGCCCAAAGGAGCCCCCCACCCAGGCCTCCCTCTGAACAAGCTCACAGCCCCAGAGACCAGGTGGGAGCTGGGCTGCCCTCCCATGCCCAGACCCCCAGCTGGCAGTGCCCCCCATAGTTCAGCCTTGCAGGGCAGGGCCAGCCCCAGATGCCACGTGATGCCAGAACTGGCCCCAGAGGATGGTCCCTGGTGCCCAGGGAGCTTGGGTGAGGGTTCCGCTGGAAACATGTCCCCAGAAGGGCACCATGAGGGTCTCTGAGCTGCACCTGGCCCAGCTCCAGGCAGGGCCCTGGGACCCAGTGTCACCCTCTGAAAGTGGCCCATCACCTGCATAACATTTGTGCTTGCCCCTTGTGGCTGCCTGCCCCAAATCGTTGTTTCTCCTGTCTGCCTGGACACCCCTTCTTCCCCAGCCTGCCCAGCCCACGGTCCCTGCGCTATTCCCCCTCCCTGTTCCCTGCGGGACTCCTGGCTCAGACTTTGCAACATCGGCTCTGCCTGCTCTCCGCAGCAGGGGTGGCTTCAGGAATGGTGCTTCCACCTGCTCCTTGAGCCTCCAGTGGCCCCCAGGCCTACAGGCTCTCACGGTCCACCCATCCTGCATGCCAAGTCCCTTCCCCAGGAAGCTGAGCAGCCAGGCCTCATGGGTCCCTCTTGGGGCACCCTGGTGGCTTCGTTTCGGGATTTGGCTTGCTTGATGCCAAGTCCTGTCTGTGCCCTGGAGGTCTGCCCCGCTTCTGGTGCATTGAGGGGCGGGTGGCTGCAAATCGCACTTCTTCCCCGGGGCGTAAGCATCTTTGTGATGATGCTGCTTATGGGCTGGGGGCTTCCTGTGGACCAGACTGGCCCCTGGACTGCAGGGAGGCCACTGGGCTGAGGTCTCTGCTGCCTCTCTGGGCAGCCCCTCCCCACCATGGTGCCTGGGCCTAGGGTGCCTCTAGCAAGGCTGGGTTCACTTTGGGGGCCTCTGGTCCGAGTGTGCATATCTGCTACAGCCACAAGCTGCCCCGAGCAGGAAGTAGGGGGATTCTGGGCTCCAAAAGGCAGAAGGCCTGGTTCTGGGGTGGGCCCTGTGGGGTTGCTGGGGTCAGGAATTGAGGTGCTCATTTCCCTTCCAGAGGCCTCCCTGTCTGGAACCTCAGTGTTGTCCTGGGCTCTGCAGCCCGGGGCTTGAGGGGCCGCCCCTACCCATTCTCAGACCCTCTGGGAGTTGCCGCCACACCTCCTGCAGGGCCCCTGCACAGCCTGGGGTGGGAGCCACCCCTTTTGGTCCCACCCCACTCCCTGCCTGACAGTCCCCTGTGACCAGGGCCAGTTCCAACTCCAGGCCCCAGCCGTCCACCCAGATGGACCCAGGCCCGGCCCCCAGCCCCCGGCCCACACAGAGACCACATGAAGATGCAACACGCATGGCTCTGGTGAGACAGGTAAGACAGGTGTCTGGGGGGCGGGGCCAGTGGCCAGACAGACGGACGGGATGGGACATCACAGCCACCCCCTCCAGGGCCGTCGCAGGGGCGAAGTGAGGGCGGCGGGCCCCTCTGGGAGAGGCGAGAGAAACGGGGACATAACAGAGAAGTGGTGTGGCCTCCCGGCAGCTGAGGAGTCCAGGATGGGGCCACGCTGGGCTCCTAGGGCCCCAGACCTGGCCCCGAGAGGTGGTGTGGCTGACTGACTGACCAACGAGATGACAGGCTTCAAGATGGCGTGTGGGTCATGGCAGGGGAGGTGGGCGGGCAGACTAACGGAGACACATGGGGAAAGCCGAGGACTCAGGAGGACCGGGGAGAAAGGTCCAGAGAGTGAGAGAGAGCAACATGGGTGGGCTGGGCAGAGTGGCTGCCGCAGGGAGACAGGGGCAGAGTGGGCCACAGGAGCCCAGGGTCCGGGGCGGGGTGATGGGGCGGGAGACACACGCAGGGCAGGGCAGGTGGAGTCGGACGCGGGACTGGGGTGCTCTCCCCCTTACCGTGTCTTTGGAGGACCTACGCCTCTTGAAGCTGGAAGCCAGGGTGGAGGTGATAGCCCTAAATGTGGCTTTCTTTTTAGGGTCAGGCTCTGCTCTACCACTCTTTCTATCCTAAAATGAATATGTATAAGTGATTAGATGGCTAGGGTGGTGGCCACACCTGCCCTCGCCTGCTCCTGGATGGGCCGCTGCCCAGCCTGGCCGGCCACTTGGGCCCTCGCTCCTGCCTGCCTCCCTGTGCTGGACAGACGGGCCGACAGCGGACGTTCGAGGGTGGCCTCTTCTCCTGCCCAGGGTCTGGGCCTGACCTTGCTCGTGCTGGGGCTGGGCTTGGGGGCTCTCGGCTGGCTCGTCCGGGGAGGTCCGCCTGGCTCCCTGGCTCCTGGGTGGCCCTGGCTTACAGGCGTCCCGAGGAGGAGGAGTCCTCTGAGGACTGGAGGAGTTGCCCCTCAGGCCACGCCAGCTGTCTGTGTGGAGGCCACTGACCCCCAAGGGGCACACACCAAGATTCAGGAAGGGGCCGAGGGCTGGAGGCAGGTGTCGAGGTGGAATTGGAGTGACAGAGGCAGCTCCCGGGACTCTGGCCTCAGGTCTGATGGCCAGGTGGCCTGTGCCCGCCAGTGGTGGCAGCGGCCAGGTCCCCAGGGGACCTGTGGGGCCAAGAGCAAGAGCGGGCGGATGAGAGGTGTGGAGCCTCCAGCAACCCCCATCCCCCAACAGCCCTGGCCACACTGTCGGCTTCATCTCAGGACACAGGCTCCAGGACGGCACCCAGAGAAAGAGAAGAGACGGAGTGAACCGGAACTCGACCACGGGCCACGAGCCCTTAGGCCTGCACAGGCCCACTGCCCACCCTGTCCCAGGTGGGTCGTGGCTGCCCTTGCTGGTGGCAAATTCTCATGGATACGACCTGGGCACCAGGCAGGACCCGGCCTGGCCCCATTTGGATTAGAGTCACGGAGCACAAGGACATAGCAGGAAAGCGAGGGGGGGATCTCCGAAGGGCGTCAAGGGGGCTTGGGTCGGCGGAGGGCAAAATGCATCTTGGACTCACGTGCCATACACAGGCGGGCCCCTGTCTTACCCTGCCTGATTGCCTTCCTATGGAATGGGTACCGGCGGGCGACTCTGGAGACAGAGGGGCCAGGCGGAGGCTTGGAGCAGGGTGCGTGGCCTCCCTCGGCCCCGGCTTTGCAGTGGGCAGCCACCTGCAGGCAGCCCCCCACCAGTGCTGCCCCCGTGCCCTGGGAGCACTCACCACTGCCCCTGGCCATGGCTCCTAGCTCCAGTCCTGCCTACCGGAGCCAGAGCCAGTGCCACGGCCTTCGGGGATGGAGGAGGGCCGTGGCCAGGCCGGGCCCTGGGCACCAGGCCTCGGAGGATGGCCTGCCCTACCTGCAGGTTCTTCCTCCACACGTTCACCGCTGCAAAGGCCAGCTGCATCTGCTTCCGGCGAGCATCCTTGTGCCGCTTGTAGGCAATCTCAATGAAAATCAGGAAGATCCCGGCAACGATGCCCCCCGCTACCAGCATGAAGACCCCTGTGTGCCGGGACCCAGAGCCTCAGTTGCTGGCCAGGGAGGCCGCAGCCCACGGAGAATCCACCCGAGTGTCAGGGGAGCCGCACCTGCCATGTTCTCAAAAGTAAGGGTCGCAGGGGCGTTGCTGCGCGAGTCACATTCCTGATACCGAACCCACGTCTTGTCCAGGTCTTCCATGAAGCCATTCTCATGGGACCTGGGGGTGGGAACAAGTGAGCCTGCAGTGGGGCGGGGCCCAGGACGTGAAGGGGCAAGCTGGGGGCGGGGCCGGGGCGGGGCCTGAGGGGTGGAGGGAGCAGCTAGCGCCTGGCCTGGGTGGGAAATCTGTGGTGGCCTCGGAGTGGTCTGGCACTGGGGAGGGCGTCCACCTCTGGCGGAGAGGAGCGGAGGAGGGACGCGGGCGCACGGACACTTACTTGAGGATGGACAGGGAGACGTTCTGCTTCCAGGGGCTGTCTTTGCGCATGCCTATGCCGAAGCCCGAGCGGAAGAACAGCTCTCCAGTCGTCACCAGGTCGCACTTCTGCGAGGCCTCGAACTCCAGCACCGCCGAGTCCCAGATGAAGGCATGCAGCTTGCTGCCGGCAGAGGCGGGGTCACGGGGGCCTTGGTCCTGCCGGCCTGGAAGACCCACGCCCGCGCCCTCCGGGGTGCCCGGCCCGGACGCTCTCCTGCCCGGCGGAGGCCGCCCTCCCCCGCCCCGCACTTGTCCCGCCCCGCCAGGGTGGCCGCCCGCGCCTCACTTGTCTCTCACGGCCTGGATGGCCTCCGCTGCACTCTCGTAGTTGTGCTTCTCCATGTGCCGGTACATGGTGCTCAGCTCCACCTGGCGCCGGAAGTAGATGTCCACGGAGCTCTGCTTCACCGTGGCGTAGATAAACTTGTCCGAGGGGTTCCTCAGCTGCAGGGTCGGAGGGCAGGGCTCGCGGCGGCGGCTCCCCAGGCCCCTCCCCGAGGCCGACCCCCGCTCATCTCGCATTCCCTCCCCCAGCCCGGCCAGGCCTCACCCGAGGGTCGTTGATGCCGGTGATGCGCTCCTCCGGCCGGTCCAGCACCAGGAAGGCCGCCAGGTTGGCGGTGTAGGAGGCCACGATAATCATGGCAAAGCCGGCCCACACCATGCCCAGGATACGCGCCGAGAAGCTTCTGGGGGCGCCTGTGGGCGGGCGGGGGGCTCTGTCAGACCCTAGAGGGCCGGGGCGGGGCCGGGCGGGCCGGGCGGGGCCTTACCTTCCCCGATGCCGGAGTTGAGCAGGACGCCCCAGGAGAACCACATGGCCGAGGACAGGGTCAGTGCGTCCTCCTCCTCCTCCTCGCTGTTCACCTTGAACCGGCCGAAGGGGCTGCGGGGCGCAGAGGGCGGGCGGGAGAGAGGGCGGGAGAGGCGGCCCTACCCCGCCCCTCGCCGGCCCCGCCCCCCCGATGGAGGTGTCTGAGCCCCGGGTCGCGCTCACCTGAAGCGGTCCAGCAGGTACAGCATCACGGCCACCACGTGCACCGACAGCCCCACCAGCAGCCACAGTGTGCTCTGGAACGGCTGCATGAACGAGTCCAGCGTGCTCCGGGGGATTTCCTGCAGGGGGACGCGAGGTCAGCGCGGCCCGGGCCCTCCAGGGACCCCCAGCCATCCGGCCTCTGCACACCTTCTTGACCAGAATAGTCAGGCCCTGGTACTTGAAGGGCTTGGAAAACTCGATGTACTGCGCGCGCTCGTTGTTGATGGTTAGCGGCGCCACGATCATGTCTGCCTGCCCGCTGAGCAGCTCGCCCATCATCCCATTCCACTCCTTCTTGTTGCTGTTGTTCACCTGCGAGGCCACAGAGCCGGCGGGGATGCAGGCAGCGTCCACCCAGCTCCCGCCACAGGTACCCCCGACTGAAGCCGCCCTAGAGCACCCCGGAGTTCTTCTCCCCCACACCCTACCTAGCTCGCAGGCCCCACCCCACTCCAGCCCCGCCCCGGCTAGCAGGCTCCTCCCACGCCGGGCAGGCCCCACCCACCGCCAGCAGACTCCGCCCACCCAACATCCCGCCCACGTCAGGACCCCCGCCTGCAGGCCCCGCCCACTCCATGCCCCACCCTCTCCGACCCCCTGCCTGCAGGCCCCTCTCACGCTGGTCCCCACCCCGGCCGTCCAGCCTACCCGCTCCTGTGTGCCGAACTTGCCATCTGCCACCAGGTGCACCTCGTAGGTGAAGTTCATGGTCCGTGCCAGCTTGATGAGCAGGTCGATGCAAAAGCCGTAGCAACACTGAGGCACCGTGTGGCGAGCTGAGTAGGTGCGGGCGGTAACTGCTGGGCTCCAGACCGCCCTGCGCCCCGCGCCCTGTCCCGCGCCCCACGCCCTGTCCCGCGCACTCACGGCTGCCCGGAGACGTGTCGTTGGGCCCGGTGCAGATCACCTTCTTGACTGGGTCGCCATTGACTGTGAACTCCTCCTTGCATGTCCCATCACTCAGCGTGGGCTTGACGTACACGAAAGGCTCCTGGTGGATCGTCACAATCTGGGGGGGAAGGGGAGACCCAGCTGGACCACCGACCTAGGGCTGCCCAGGGCGGCAGTCTCTTCTCAGTTCCCAGCCTCCCCTGGCGCCCCTCTTAATCCCCGACGCCCCCTCCTCCCCCGCCCTGCGCTGCTGGCCACTGCCCCTCTTTGGAGCTTCTTCAGGAGCCCAGGTGTTCAGGACACACCCACCATCAGCATCATCTGCTTGCAGCCCCGGGGGATGGGGGCTGGGGGCTCGGAAAAGACTGCTGGAACGCTAGACCCTTCTCTTGGCCACTTTTCCTCTAGTCTTGGCTTAGACGTGATTCCCTCCAGCAGGGGAGCCGCTGATGTCCCTTGTATGCCAGCCATCTTCCCGGGGTGAGAAACTGCCCAGCCTGCAGGCTGACTCCCACCCTGCTGTGCCACGAGGACAGGGGCACGTCCACGAAGCCGACCCTGCGCCTGCACAGGACCTGGGACCCGAGGGGGCACCCACCCGTGCCTCCCTTCATCCCGGTGCCCTGACTGTCCTGGCCCCCAGCTCCGCAGCCTTCAGGCTTTGAGCATAGGTCTTTGGCTCCTTCCTTTTGCCGGAGTGGACATGTTCCACCGCTCCGTGGCCTCTTCAAACCACACTCCTGCTTGGGCTCACCCTCCTGTCTGTCCTTCAGGGGACCATGGCCTGGGGGTGGGGAAGGGATCTGGGGCACAGAGAGCTGGAATGGAGCATAGCACACTGCCAGAACTCTGAGGGGAGATGATATCAGAGCTGAGCCCTCAAGGTGGGCAGGGATCAAGCAGGTGCCCGAGGGCAGGTGGAGCAGAGGTGCCTGCAGTCCAGAACTGCAAAGGCAGGGAGGTGTGGGGGTGGTGGAAGAGGCACCCTCCCGGCATGTCCTAGGGAGGGTGAGCCTGAGAGCGGTGCAGGCTCAACCTCAGCCTCCAGGCAGCATTTCGTCTTTTATCCCCAGGGGGATCAGGAGCCATTGAAGAAGTTGATTTTCTTTTCCTTTTTTTCTTTTTTCGTTTTTTTATGAGATGGAGTCTTGCTCTGTAGCCAGGCTGGAGGGCAGTGGCACGATCTCAGCTCACTGCAACCTGCGCCTCCCGGGTTCAGGCAATTCTCCTGCCTCAGTCTCCCGAGTAGCTGGGACTACAGATGAGCGCCACCACGCCCAGCTAATTTTTGTACTTTTAGTAGAGATTGGGTTTCACCATGTTGGCCAGAATGGTCTGGATCTCTTGACCTCATGATCCGCCTGCCTCGGCCTCCCAAAGTGCTAGGATTACAGGCCTGAGCCACCGCGCCTGGCCTGATTTGCTTTATAAAACTTTCATTATGGGCCGGGCGCGGTAGCTCACACCTGTAATCCCAGCACTTTGGGAGGCCGAGATGGGCGGATCACGACGTCAGGAGATCGAGACCATCCTGGATAATCCGGTGAAACCCCGTCTCTACTAAAAAATACAAACAAAACAAAACAAAACAAAACAAAACTAGCCGGGCGAGGTGGCGGGCGCCCGTAGTCCCAGCTACTCGGGAGGCTGAGGCAGGAGAATGGCATAAACCCAGGAGGCGGAGCTTGCAGTGAGCTGAGATCCAGCCACTGCACTCCAGCCTGGGCAACAGAGCAAGACTCTGTCTCAAAAAAAAAAAAAAAAATTTAAATAAATAAATAAATAAATAAATAAATAAATAAATAAAACGTTCATTATGTTTTCCTGTTTTACAGGTAATATATATGCCAGTACTTTTACAAAATTAGTGAGGCCAGAAACAAACTTTTAAAAAGCCATCTGCATCTCACAGCCTAGATGGGGCCTTTTGGCTGTTAGCATTTGACAGCTGCTTTCAGACTTTTCAATGTGAAGTGTCTGGGCTGCAATGAAACCCACACTGGTACTGGAAAACCCCACCCTGTCTGCAGAGCAGGGGAGGGAGCCTGGGTGAGAGGCTGCAGGGGCTGGTGCAGAGCAGGGGAGGGAGCCTGGGTGAGAGGCTGCAGGGGCTGGCACCAGGCTTCAGGGGTGGGCTCAGAAAGCAGACAGAGGCAAGAGACATTTGAGGGCCTGGAATGACCAAGAGAAGGTTGGTGGGCATGTTGCCTGTGAGGTCCTTGCCTTTGGCAGTCTGTGGTGCTACTGGGACCGGAGTGTGTGTGGAGTGGGGGTGGTGTGGCTCTGCCGGGGGAGGAACGACCAGGAGAGCACCCTGGAGTAGGGAGCCAAGGGAAAGATGCTCTGGAGGAGGAAGCCAGCCAGGGCAGGGGTTCTCAGAGGCCCAGGGGAGTCAGGAAGGGCTGTCCCACATGGTGGAAGAGGACAGTTTGACCTGGTACCATCAGGAGGCCATGAAGGCTGGAGGAGGGATGAGGAGTGTGGAGGACCAGGACTGGGGACAGCGAGTGCTGAAGCTGAGGTTGGCCTGCCATCTCCCATCTGCTCTTCCCCAGCAGGGTCCTATCAGACAACCAACTGCCCCAGACTTAAGTAGGACTGGGTCAAGAGGGGCACCAGAGAGGCCCTGTGGGATGGGGGCAGCTTCCTCTCCTCCCTCCTGCTCTCTCTGCTTCCTGTGCTGTGCCAGGTGTGCTGGACGGTGTCCAGGGGCAGCAGGCCCCACCCCGACTTCCTTTAGTGGCTTTCATTGACCTCGCACCCCCCTCCTTCAGGCCAGAGGGGGTGGATGGGCTGTCTGGGGTGGGGACACTGAGGGAGGTCTGTGGGGCCCCTACCTTCAGTCTGGTGGACATCTGGTACCCTCGAGGTTTCTCTGTCTCTCCGCCTGGCCAGATGATCTTCCTGTCATTAGGGATGACCTGGGGGTGGGAGTATGAGATGGAGGGTGGCCACGCAGGGGTCTTGGCCCCAGGACCCTAAGGCCCCAGCCCCCACCCCCTCATGACCCCCACCTACATGGGTGCCGTTGTAGATGCCCACTTGCACCAGCTTGCGGTTCTGCAGGTTCATGATGCTGTAGTTGGCGAACTTCCGGTCCCCATCCTCATTGAACTCCACACGACCAGTCACCCCATCCGCATACTTGGAGGACATCAGCACTCTAGGGGAGGAAGCATAGCTGAGGCTTCTCAGAGGTGCTCCTTCTCCTGCTCCTTCTCCTGCTCCTTCCCCCTGCTCCTTCCCCCTGCTCCTTTCCCCTGCTCCTTCCCCCTGCTCCTTCCCCCCGCTCCTTCCCCCTGCTCCTTCCCCCTGCTCCTTCCCCCCGCTCCTTCCCCCTGCTCCTTCTCCTGCTCCTTCCCCCTGCTCCTTCTCCCTGCTCCTTCTCCTTGCTCCTTCTCCTGCCTGCTGAGCAGCTCGGGCTTTTCCCTTGTCCCAGTCCCAAGAACAGAAAGATCAGCACATGCCAGCCCCTGAACACCATGGTGTCTGCCTGCACCAGATGGACAGTGCAACTCATGACAGCTGAGTGGTTTCTGGGTGCCAGACTCTGCTTCAAGGGCTTTCCGTGGGTTAGGACATTGTCTTCACAGCCATCCTGTCTTACAGAGAGGGAGGCAGAAGCACAGAAGGATGCCTGCCCTCTTGCCAGCAAGTGGGGGAGAGGTTGAGTTGGCTCTAACCACCAGACTGTCCTGTCTGGCTGTGTGTGCGCGTGTGCATTGTACCCATCGGGTCACATCAGTGAACCTGTGTGCACACGTGATCCCTATGTGGGGTGCACCCCATGCATGTGCCTGTGTCACGTGTGTGTCACGTACCTGAGTCTGTGTGCACACACGGTTCTGTGTATGTGTGTGCATGTGTGTGCACACGTGCTGCCTACATCGGCACTTACGTGGGCATTGTGGATGGTGGCTCTGCACATGCTACTCAATGGTTGGGGATCTGGGGGTGAGCTGGCATGGTATGGTGTCCAGGCGTGCTGTGAGCTAACTGCAGCCACACTGAAGATGTTCATTTGGGTCTCTGGGCCTAGCCCAGCCCTGGCTCTCTAAGGTTTGTGTGCTGTTCTTGGGATCCTTGTCTGGCCTCCTGGGTCCCTGGAAGCTTTCAGTCCCCATCTGCATCAAGAGCCTCCTCCCAAAGGCTGCCAGCCACACAGGGAGAAGGGTGCTGTTTCAGGGTGAACTGCAGTGTGGAAAGTAGGGGCAGGAGCAGTGGCGCCAGTCCCCACTCCAGTGACAGTCCCGGCACTGGTGTCAGTGTTGAGAAGAGGGCAGATCATTGTGCCATTAGATGTGGTGGTGCTGGGGGGGTGGGGGGAGAGGAGAGTGTGGTGGTGCTGGGGGGGTGGGGGGAGAGGAGAGAAGTAACAGTGTCCAGAGGATGTTGGCAGCAAGCTCCACTGCAGTACCCCCGAGAGCGGCGCCGTCCACCTCCTGGAAGCGACCCTGCCCACCCCACCCCCTAGAGTGCCCGCACCCATCTCTTGAGGAGCGCTCCCCCAGTTCCCTAAGAGCGGCCCCGCCCAGTGCTGAGAGCGGCCATACCCAGCTCCGGAGAGGGGCCCCGCCCACCTCCCCCAGAGGGACCTCTCCCAGTCCTGAGAACGGCCCCGCCCAGCTCTGGAGAGTGACCCCGCCCACCGCCCCAAGAGCAGCCCCGCCCAGCTCGGGAGAGGCCCCGCCCACCTCTTGAAGAGCGGCCCGGTCTTCCAGATGTTGGTGTTGCCCACGCAGCCCCGCGGCGGGTCGGTGATGTTCTCCTTCTCGAGGAGCTCGTGCACGGCCTGGGCCACCACGCCCACGGCGTCGCTGATGTGGGCCGACTCGTTCTTGCCGTTGATGAGCTGCAGCCCGAGGATGCCTGGGGCGAGCATGCGACTCAGAGCCCGTGGGGGCCTCCCCGTTCGGGGACCCCGCCAAGGCCCAGCACTCACCGTCCGGGGCGTAGCGCAGGGCGTTCCCCGAGATCTCGCGCTCCCCGACCAGCCACACGTACCCGGAGCCCGTCATGTTCAGCATCGCGGCTGCACGGTACACAGTGGCAGCGTCGTCCTCGCTGTGGGGCAGACGGGGGTGACGGGCCAGGGCTCCAGCACTCCCACCGCGGCGCTCCACAGGCCCAGGTCCTCCTTCTCTGGAGCAGGGACCTGCCCAGCCCCCAGCCCCTCCTAGATCGAAGCCTGCAAACCCCGTAGAGGCGCTGCTGCTCAAAACCCAGGAGCCTCCCACGACTCCGTTGCTGGCCCTTACCTTGGGGGGAGCAGGGATGGAGTTAGCTGCTGGTCCTTACCTTGCGGGAGCAGGGATGGGGTTAGATACCTGGTTTATAGGACTGACTTCCTACTTGTGGTCTGCACCTGTGCCCCCAGCATGCCCTTCCCTCCACCTCAGAAGGCCCTGATGGGGGCCCAGGAAGGTAATGGATCACCATTGATCACTTGCTGGCCAGATACCAGGCACTGCTTGAAGTGTTTTACGTGGATTATCTTATTTAACTTTCACAACATCTCTGTGTCCCGAGGGGGAGCGGAAGCACACGGGACACACGAGTTGGTAAGTGGCAGAGTCAGGACCCAAGCTCCTAAGACCTCCTAGACAAGCCACACCCCTCTGGTCCTCTATGTTCAAACATGTGAAATGAGGGGTTGGGGGGCTCTCCAGGTTGGTGAGATGCTGGTGGGATCCAGCGTCCTGAGGACGACCAGAGATGAGAGGCGGCTTCCCCCGGGCTCTGCACAAGCAGCTGCCTTCGCCCAGTCACCCAGGCCTGGAGCCTGCAGGAGGACAGAGCCCAGGCAGGCCTCACCTTGCAGGCATGTGCGGTCTTGAGCTCTGCCGGTGTCCTTGCAGGCGGGCCCCTGTCGACAGTGGAGCAGGGGACCTCTTCCTCTGGGGCTGGGGCCTCTCTGGTTATGACAAGGATCTGGGGGCCTGGTGGGACTCTAGAAGCCTTTGGGGGTCTTCCCTCACCACCATCTGTCAGACCTTTCTCTGCAGGGCCTGTCCTGGCTCCAGGTGGGCCTGGACGACCCCTGATACTTTGCTTCTCCAGGCATGGGCAGCAGGGTTGGGCGGATTGCCTGAGCGTTGGGTAATTTTCACAATGCTTGACTCTGGAAACCAAGGTGGCCCTCCCCTCCCTG